GCGTTTGTAAAAAAAAACTAGCAAACACATACATAGATCTATTGCAAATCGGATCTTTCCATGTGTACTGTGAGCGATGCGTAGTTTCTCCATAAAAAGGAATTTTAGTTCTAGTGTAGCTCCTTCGCTTCACCACAGCTTCATCTTCATTGTTTAGATTTTCATAAGAAACTGGGACAACAGTGGTGAATTCGTTGTAGTCATCATCAGGCTCTGAATGTAGAGGAACTGCTCTCAGTTGAATCAGTACTATAGCGGCGCTATCCATATTAACAAGCCCATAAACATGAACTTTTGAGATTCGCTCAAACCTTGCGCAGGAGAGGGGTGAGGGAGGAGAGGGAGAATTAGAAAAAAAGATCATATCCATACCGCACGATAAAAATACAGTATGTGGACCTAAGGGGTCAGAAATTTACGATCTATGGGAGTTATTTGGAAAGCTGATCACATTTGTGATATTACGATAAACAGAGCGTAATAAAAGTCATAGATTGGTCCAAAAAAGCTTTTTGACATGTTTGCAAAAATAGAGTGTGACATTTTTGTAATGACTGGTATAAGTGGCACAGCCATAATATATAATGATAGGAGAGATGCATAGTTACAGAGTTAGGCTAAAATGGGAAAGCTCATTCACACCACAAACCTCACTGCAACCATGGAGGTTATAAGGAAACGAAGGGAATATTGAATGACTCCTAGCATCAATTATGGGCCCTTCAAATAAACCTACTGACCCTTTCAAGCCATAGCTTAATGATCCGCTGCCGTTTACCTATGGTACATCACAGGAGAGTTTGCGAAGCATGTTGCGATCATTATCAGCATGTCAAACCCAACTAGAGCATTTTTCACATACAGATACGTTTCGTAATCAGCATGTCAAATTATCTTCCTGAGCGGACTTTAAACGAAACAAACTTTGCGGTTTTGGGGGCGGTAATGTGGGCTTCCGAAGTAGCAGATAATTTTGCAGCGTTACTTATAGAGCGGTACTTTAAACAATAAAACCATTGTGCTGGGATTAGATGAGTAACACTATATTACAGCACGAAAATCATGAAGTTAACCATCATAAAGCTTTGCTTCGCAAGCAGCTAAGAATGACAATTTTTAAATTTATCTTCGGTTTACACATTGAAGCAAGCTTAATCACTTTAAATTGTTCTCAGATCGCAATATGTACACCTGCTACTTCAACATCTTACCATAGTCATGGAAATAGACATTGCCTACATCAAGTGGCTCAACTTGATAAGCTTCGTTAACACCATATTCGCTGTAGATATCTGTAAACTGAGTTAAAGTATTTTTTTAAAAAGTTCAGCAACCAACCTTGACGTTGTGACATGTCGGCTGAGAGCAGCAAAGTTGTCAAGGAGACAGTGTTGCATGCAAGCCACGTCAACACTTCTTTGTCTTTCTGTAGCTGCTTGATATAATTTTTTGAAATATTTCAAAGAAGGGCATTGAATATTTTTATTTAACGGTCTCCACGTTGCTGGTTCGACTAGATTGCAAAGAGCTCGAAGCAATTAACTTCGAAACAAAGGAATTGCTCAAAATATGCAACGCCTACCAATTTTGTGGCATATTAGTAATGGCTACTCTACATCTCTCAGTAGATTAAAATACTAGCCAGTATTGCAGAGTACAAGCACAAAAACTAACATAAGTTCTTTTTTTCGGGTTCACTCGAAATTGATTTCCTCAAAGTCTCCTCAGTCCATAGCGTACAACATAAAGAAACAAGGGTTAGCAAGCTTATTTTGGAACTGTGTTGCAACAGAATTCCAAGAGGAGTCAAAAGGATGGAAATTGATTACTATTCTTAGATATTTCCGATATTCATGAACGAGTTAACTTCAGTCCCGCTTGTAAACAACTGAGAGGACTTACAACTCACTAAAAGCGCTCTGACAATCGTAAATCTAACTTCTCAGAAAAAGAACACTCGTTGTAACCAGATATGGTAGCTACAGCGCCAGTATTATGTACTAAGCCAAAGCTAGTGCATATCATAATTGATAGTTCAAATTTATTTGTTCGTAAAATCGAAGAAATGGAGCTTGCAGTTTGGAAATACGAATCAGAACTCAAAAATTAGACCGACTACTCAATTAGTGAGAACCACGTGTGAGAGATCATGCACGCCTTTCCGCACACATTCGATGGGAGGAAGGAGGTAAAACATGCCGCCTATTCTTGGAGGTAACAATTAGAGGCGCGAGCCATCTCGTATGGATTTGACAACTTTCCAATTGGCTTACGTCAGTGTGTATCGCAATCAAAGCAAATGAGCGCTTGAGTATGAGAGTTTAACCAAGAAATGCGAAAGAAACAACTGGAAAACTAGGCAGGCGTTTCATAAAAATTTACAGTCGTGTTACGCAATCGCCGTTTTAAGTTGAAATTTCGAACAATCACAACTTATTATTTATAAAGAGAGAAGTGTAAGCGCCAATCGAGAAATATCAGTTTGGATGGCTTTGTAAAAGCTCTGGTATGATGCTTCACACTAACATTAGATTCTAAAGTTCATAATATTGGATATTTAAATAAAAAATAAATAAACATTTATGTGTATATGAATATGTTACTTACTTAGATTATTATTAGAAGTGATTAAGCTTGCTTCAATGTGTAACTAAAGATACTTATCTAAGCAACTAAGTTATTATGAACATTAGATTCTAAAGTTCATAATATTGGATATATAAAGAAAAAAATAAAAAAAAATATTTATGTATATATGAATATATATATATATATA